GAAAGACAGGTGCAGGAGAGGTGAGTCCTCGTACGTCACAACAGAAAGTAAACACCTACGCTCTCAAAATGGTACGCCAAGAGCCGGTGGGACCAGCACCTACGGAGAGCCTGGCCAGTAACAGCAGAAGGTGCATTGTTACACGCATGCCCATCCCCTACATGAGGCTGGGCTGAGCAAGGCGAAGCTATTAAAAGCCTCTTGGCGTTATTTGACTTTTTAAATATACACACAAAACGTTTGGTGAAATTTGTTTAAATGATATGCGAATACAGTGTTGAGAGGCTGAACGTGTCAACCGACAGTTCCCGATGTAGGTGGCACCACTGACCCCCTGCCAGGGCCAGCTCCGCGTAAACAGCCTCCAAGCGTTCCTGTTCGGGCAGCCTTCATTCATTTCCACATTGTGAACTGATCATGCTACAAGGAACACACTGAATGACACATACGTGTTCCCAGGCACACAGGCGTCATCATCAGCAAACTGGTGTTCTCTAAGATGGAAGAACAAGAGGTGCAGGTCCAGAGCCCGGGAGGAACACGCAGAAACCAGAAGCAGCGGGGGCTGGCGCTGGGACCCTCACAGCCCTTTCCTCTGTGCCAGCACAGCGGCCGCCTGTCCAGGGAGTGAGCGGCGTGTTCGACCCTGGAAGCAGGCAGCAGAGTTCTGGGGCCCAGAAGTGAACTTTCCATCTTCCGAGAGTGAAAGGAGGGAGAAGCGCTGTTTCTTATGCACTCTCTTGGGGTTCCCACTCCTGGGGTTCCCTCTCCAGTTTCAGCCTGAGCCCCCCTCGCCCATCAGAGCTCCCCTTACCCTACACCTTGCTCAGGCCCAAGACCATGCCCTCAGGGCTCCCTGCTGGACAGAGCTGGGTCCTCCTGAGCAGGAGCTGGCTTCCTCTTGCCAGACTCCCCCTTCCCACACCTCCTCCTCCCCCAGTGCTTCCAAGCCAGGATGCACCTGGAACCAGGCCACAGAGGCCCTGAGACAGCCCCAAGGGCCCCACTCGGAGAGGTCCTGCCCTCCCTGCCCCAGGCCGCTCTGGCCCCTCACTCAGGCACTTCCATTCTCTGTCCTCTCAAGACCTCGCTGGGCCTGAGGCCCACTAGCAAACACTTCTCCCAAAAGCCTGTGCTTGCTGCAGCCCTACCCCACGGGCCCTGTCTGGCCAATGTGTGATCATCATCACCTGGAGATCTGCCCTGTGCAGAACCAGTAATGCCCTGGGACCCTCGAGGGCCAGGCTCCCACTGCCCGGCTGACTTCATCTCAGCCCCGATCCACAAGAGGGGACCTGGGGCCCTGGAAGGATAGATCGTGGCTTCGCACCCACTTCCAGGCTCCTGTCCGGCCCACAGCCCTGCAAGAGGCAGCCCCGAGTGTCCCCTGACTTCACCTCCAGGCTGCCCCATCTGATGGCACCGGAGTCTGACCCTGCCCAGCTAGGAGGCGGTTGTCAGGCAGGAGAGGCCAGGATTGAAAACCACAGTTGAATGGTTAGAAGCGCATTGTTTTCTTCACTACAACATCTTGAGCTTCCTGGCTGTCAGGGCAAAGGGGCTAACACACTGGCTGCAGAATGTTCACTGTGTGAGAGAGACCAGAGCACTCTGGGAGCTGCTGGCAGGAAGACCTTCAGTGTGGCTCAAGATTCTGGATGAATCTAGGATGACTGTTTCACATGTGAAACTGATAACATCCCCGTGCTGATGGCAGCTGCTGACCCAAACCTCCTGGTCTCTGCTGACTCGTGCAGACACCTGCACGGCTCCTGCCCAGACACCGGAGTGGCTGCCCTGGGTGTGGGTAGGGCCGAACTGCCTGCCCTTGAAAAGTGGGTGTTCCCACCTCTCAGGACTGTGGAAGTGTGAGGGATGAGGGATCCTGGCATATGCTGCCTGCCTCAGTCTGCAGCAACTGTCGCCGCTGAACGTCACGGTGGTCCTCACAGGGAGGCAGCTACCCTGGCTGAGAGCGTGAACCAGATGCAGAGACCACGGACAATCTCCACAAACGCTCTCTGTGGCCTGTGTGGCAGCCGGGATGCCATCTCCAGGCCAGCTAAGCCCGCACTTCCCGAGTTATCCAAGTCAGGATGAAAGCTCTCCTCTGAGAAAGCTCCAGGGTAGAAAAGCGAACAGGCTGGTCCTCTTGGATTCTGGGTCCAGGGTTGGTCTATCCGGGGGCAGCGTTGTGGGGTGGAGACTGCCATGGCATTGGCCATGCCCCTGAGATGGAATTCCCAATGATGGGATCCTGCCAGGCCACGAGCTGATGTTTCAGAGCAGTTAAGTGCAAGTTTGTGTCTGTGTGAACATGAACTTCAAAGGCCAGGGTTGGGGACCATGAACAGGAGGAGAGGAGGCAGATGCCTTGTGGCGCCACCTACAGCTCGGCTGGGGACCTCCTACACTTGTGCACTTGTGGTGCATGAAATCAACCCCATGGAGGCATTTCTGCCCGGAGATCGTCCACCCAGAACCCAAGCGAATGGGAGGGGAGAGCAGGCCCCGTCACGCAGGCAACGTGACCTCACTGGGTGGACCTCTGTGGACACCCCAGGAAAGCCCCCACTTCTCACATTCTTCTGAGAAAACCTTTTTGTTTTAGTTCTACAGGCGTGTTCTCAGGTCAGGAAGAGTCTTGCAATTTAGACAGCGCTGGGTGGCTGAGGCGGACCTGCCCCAGTGCCATCTTCAACACACACGAACCTGCATCACCCACCTGGGCAGCTACAGCCCATGGGCCGGGTCCAGCCCCACCTGCTTTTGTTCCTAAAGTTTCTCTGAAGCGCAGCTGCGGTGGGCGGTCTGCATCTGTGCTGCCTTGGTCCACTGGGGCAGAGTCAAGCAGTCGTCCAGGTGACTGCATGGCCAAAAAATTAACCCCCAGCCTTGAACGGAAAGAGTTAGTCAGGGTGGGTGCGGCGCCTCACGCCTGTAATGGCAGCACTGTGGGAAGCCAAGGCGGGCAGATCCCATGAGGTCAGGCGTTTGAGACCAGCCTGGGCAACATGGTGAAACCCCATCTCTACTAAAAATAAAAAAATCAGCCAGGCGTGGTGGCACACGCCTGTAATCCCAGCCACTCAGAAGGCTGAGGTAGGAGAATCGCTTGAACCCAGGAGGCAGAGGTTGCAGTGAGCCGAGTTCTCGCCATTGCACTCCAGCCTGGGTGGCAGAGTGAGGCTCTGTCTCAAACAAAAACAAACAAACAACAAAAACAAAAAGCAAACAAAAACCGAGAAAGAGTTAGTCAGTCCCTGCCCTGAACAGTGGGGAAAACACCGCCACTCACTGCTTTATCTCCACTCAGCTACGGCCCCACTTCCCCGCTGGGGGTTTATGGCCTCCTGCTGGACCATGATCTAGAAAACAAACTCCCTTTTGTTTCTGGGCTCCCAGAGGCCAGCATGTGCCCTTATGCTGGCATCAGGACCATCAATGTGAGAGAAGCTGAGGGACCTGTCCCCTGAGGCCTCCCTTTGGAAATAGGGGCTCCCGTGGGACCGGAGCAGGATTGCGGGCAGGAGGAGAGGTTGTGGGGCCGAGGGAGTGTGGAGCCTGCATTGTAACTAGCCTCTCCCCGCAGAGCTTGCACAGAACATCGCCTGACTCTTACAGACCATGGGGTACCAGAAGACCCACAAAATCCCCAAAGTTTCTAACCCCTAGCAAGTGCCTGCCCCCTCTCGCGCAATACCCCCAAGGGGCAGTGGCTTCTGCAGGGAGGCCAGTTGGGACCCAAAGCTCTGTTCACAAGGGACACATCTTGTCGTGCAGGGACGGGCACCCAGGGTGACTCCAGGGCGTCTTGTGTTTGGCTGACTGATGCCCTCCTGGCCCCCAAATCCAGGCTCCTGGGTCCTGTGGATGTGAGGGGCCTTGGCACACGTGATCGTGTCTAGGATCGTGGGATGGGAAGGATATCCTAGACTCCAGGACGGGCCCTGAGTGTGACCTCAGTGTCCTGGTAAGAGGGAAGCCGGAGGAACCTGACTGCAGGAGAAGAGAGGCCTGGAGCACAGGGGACGGCCCTGTGGCTGGGGAGGCAGAAGGGGAGGCAGAGGCTGGGCCATGCGGCCACAGCTAAGGAACAGCCAAGGGACACCCGGAGCCCGGAAGCTGGAAGAGGCAGGAAGGAGCCTCCCGAGAGCCTTTGGCGGGAGCACAGCCTGCAGACACCCAGGTGTGGGTCCTCCGTAATTGTGAGAGAACAAATTCCTGTTGTCTGAGCCCCCAGTTTGTGGTCATTTGTCACTGGAGCTCCTAGACAAGGACACAGGCTTCACCCCTGCCTCTGGCTCCCTCTTTTTCTGACATCCTGCGAAGGTCTCTCTCAACAGTGTCAGAAGAGTAACCCAGCCAGCTCTGCCTTTCTGATCAAGTGTGTCGGGCCCCTCTCCCCGCCCCATCACCCTGCACATGCGTGGCCTCGGGTTTGATGCAGCCTCAGGCGTGAGGCCCTGCAAGCAGCTCCTGGCAGCTGCCCAGCTGGGGAGCCCCCCAGAAGGGAGGAGTTGATCCCAGCCTCCTGCCCTAAGAGCTGTGAAAGCTACGAGGTCCTGCGTGCCCCTCCTGGCCAAGCTCTCCGGGTCTCATGGTGGCTGTTCAGAGGTATTCCCCTGATGGCCAGGAGTCACGTGAGGACAACCACTGCGGAAGGGGATGTGCGGCAGGTCCAGCAGGTGGCTGGGGGCCCTAGTCAGTCCCTTCCATGATACATGGGTGTGGCATGCGCCAGTCAGATTAGAGATGCAGAGCCGGAATTAAAACTGCAAAACACGGCAAACAGAACGTGATTGTTTCTAGTTTCAAGAAAGCAAACAAAATCTCCCTGGGGAAATGGCACAAACAGGAACCAGGAAGTGACCATGTGCCCAGCTTCACACCTCACCCTGGGCAGGGATATAAAGGGCCCAGGCCCAGGGAGCTCCCCATCTGCACCTGCCTCTCACCTGCTCCTCTACCTCCCGCTCCATTCTCAGCACACCAGAACCATGGGCTGCTGTGGCTGCTCCGGAGGCTGTGGCTCCGGCTGTGGGGGCTGCGGTTCCGGCTGTGGGGGCTGCGGCTCCGGCTGTGGGGGCTGCGGCTCCGGCTGTGGGGGCTGTGGCTCCGGCTGTGGGGGCTGCGGCTCCGGCTGTGGGGGCTGTGGCTCCAGCTGCTGTGTGCCTGTCTGCTGCTGCAAGCCCGTGTGCTGCTGTGTGCCAGCCTGTTCCTGCTCCAGCTGTGGCTCCTGTGGGGGCTCCAAGGGGGGCTGTGGCTCCTGTGGGGGGTCCAAGGGGGGCTGTGGCTCCTGTGGGGGCTCCAAGGGGGGCTGTGGCTCCTGTGGGGGCTCCAAGGGGGGCTGTACCTCTTGTGGGGGGTCCAAGGGGGGCTGTGGCTCTAGCTGTGGGGGCTGTGGCTCTGGCTGTGGGGGCTGTGGCTCTGGCTGTGGGGGCTGTGGCTCTGGCTGTGGGGGCTGTGGCTCTGGTTGTGGGGGCTGTGGCTCTGGCTGCTGTGTGCCTGTCTGCTGCTGCAAGCCTGTGTGCTGCTGTGTGCCAGCCTGTTCCTGCTCCAGCTGTGGCTCCTGTGGGGGATCCAAAGGGGGCTGTGGCTCCTGTAGCTGCTGCCAGTCCAGTTGCTGTAAGCCCTGCTGCTCCTCAGGCTGTGGGTCATCCTGCTGCCAGTCCAGCTGCTGCAAGCCCTGCTGCTCCTCAGGCTGTGGGTCATCCTGCTGCCAGGTCCAGCTGCTGCAAGCCCTGCTGCTCCCAGTCCAGCTGCTGTGTCCCCGTGTGCTGCCAGTGCAAGATCTGAGGCTCTAGTGGGAAACCTCAGGTAGCTCCTGAAGATCTGTGCTTTCCAACAAGGGGCTACCCCTGAAGCACATCCCCTTCCGGATCTGAAAAATGACTCCCTTGGCTCAGGGCCTTTTTCCAGCCCTTGAGGAAATGGAATGAACCACTCCCTGCCCATTCCCTGTAAGGATACCCCAAGACCCAGGCACTTTTGCTCCTCCTTCCTGCATGCCCCCATATGTCTCAGCCAGACAGCACTGGGGGCGGCCCTCATGCCAAACAAGAGCCTGAAATTCCCCTTCTTGATAATTCCATGGGAGACAGCAAACCCTTCTTTCCTGTGCCTGCCAGGAGCTCCGTGGCATTTGCAGATGGATGTCCTGCAACCCAAGTGATCACATGTATCTGTGGAAATCCAAAATGGATCTGGGTGCAGCACTAAATAAATTCTACAACCCTCAGCCTTGGTCTCACTGACTTTTCTTCCAGCCTCTCTCTCATTGGCAAACTGGCCACATGTGCTTCCCCTCCCTCCCTGATAGCTTATTGCTCACACTGCTGTAACTGTGTGCCAGGCCCAGCTCACATTCCAGAAACAGTTGTTGAACTGATTGATGAAGGAGTCACTAGCAGTGTGTATGAATGAATGAAGACGAATGAATGAATGAGTGAGTGAGTGGGGATCTCTCAGTACACAGGGAGCCCCAGCTGCGTCTCCGTGGGATTCAGTCTATCTTGGTTGGAATTGTGGACTCCTGCTTCTTCCCCGTGGGAGGATATGTTTGGGAGAGAAGGAGATCTTTGCCCTCAGTGCCTAGGAAGGGGTATAATGGGTGGTCTCTGTGTCCAACCAGTTCCCAGTTTGTGGGTCAAGCCAGGAGAGGGGGAAGCGAGACTAGAATCAGCTGTGTCCCTGAGATGCTCTGTAGGACAACACTGGAAACTGTGCTGCTTCAGGGATCCAAGACGGTGTGGCTGAACACAGGCTGAGGTGCACCCTCCATCTCTGGGCTCAGAGTGAGGAGGGAATCCAAGTGTCCACAGGCTTCCCAGCTTTGGTTTGGCACAGGGAGGAACAGAAGGGACTTCTTTCAGTCTGATAAAGGGCATCTACCCACAGTGAACACCGTGATTAACTGTGGAAACCTGGATGTTTTCCCCTAAGATCAGGAACAAGAAAAGAATGTCCACACCCACCGCTTCTATGCAACATTTCACTGAAGCTATAGCCAGAGTAATATGACAGGAAAATAAAATAAAAGCCATCCAGGTAAGAAAAAAGGAAGCAAAACTATCTCTATTCATAGAAAACCTTATTTTGTATACATAAGATGCTGAGGGACACACACACACAACTATTAGGGCCAATAGCTGAGCTCAGCAGAGTGCAGGACACAAAGACTACACACAATAGTCAGCTGTGTTTCTATACAACAGCAAAAAGCAATGCAAAAAGGATGTAAGGAAACAATAAAATTCCTAGCAACAAATGCAACCAAAAAAGTACAAGACTTGGACACTTAACACTACAAAACACCATTGGAAGAAGTTAAAGAGGACCAAAGTAATGGGGGAAAAATCCCATGTTCATGTATTGGAAGACCTAATATTGTGAAGATTGAAACTCTCCGAGAAACAGTTGTTCTACCAATTTAATGCAATTTCGATCAACATCTCAGATTTATTTTTTCACAAATTGACAAGTGGATCCTAAAATTCGTGTGGACATTCAAGGGACCCTGAATAGCTAAAACAATCTTGAAAAATAAAAGCAAAGTTTGAGGACTCGTGTTTTCCAATTTCTAAATGGGCTGCAAAGCTGCAGCAATCAGGACAGCATGGTTCTTGCATAAGGATAGAAAGATGGATCAATGGAGTAGGTTTGAGGCCCTTGAAATAAAGACTCACAATTGTGGTCAATGGATTTTCACGGGTACCATACAATTCCATGGGAAAGAAGGAATTTTTTCAACAAACAATGCTGCTGAGACAACTGGATGTCCACATGCAAAAGAATGAATTTGAATCTTGACCTCATACCATATTCCAAACAAACAAAAAAAAATAGAAAAAAATAGATAAATGACCTAATAGTAAAAGCCAAAACTAGAGGATTACTAGAAGCAAAACAGGTTAAGTTTTCATGACCTTAGCGTATGAAATGGTTCTTATATAATGACACCAAAACCACAAGGAAAAACTAGATTAACTAACTACATCAAAACGAACAGTTTTTGTGCTTCTAACAGCACTATGAAGAAAATGAAGAGACACCAACAGAGTGGAAGAAACTACTTTGAAATCATATATTTGATAAGAACTTGCATCTATACATATAGAGTTCTTGCTGTTCACACAATCCAATTAAAGACTCAGCAGAGGATTTAAATAGGCATTTTCCAAAGAAGATATACAAATGGTTAATAAGCACATGAAAAGGAGCTCAACATTGTTAGACATCAGGGAAAATCAGGGAAATGCAAATCAAAACCACAATAAGATAGCAGTTCACATCCTCTGGGATGGCTATTATCAAAAAGACAATAAGAAGCACTGATGAGAATGTGGAGAAATGGGAGCCCTTGTGCAATGGATGAAAATGAAAAATTATGCCACTATTTTGAAAAATAGTTCCTCAAATGTTCCATGTAGAGATACCATATGACTCAGCAGTTCCACTCTTAGGTAACTACTAAAGGGAACTGAAAACATATATCACATAAAAACTTGTATGATGATATTCATAGCAGCCTTATTCTCATTTGCCAACAAGTGGAACCATTTAAATGTCCATGAACTGATGAGTGGGTAAACAAAATGTGGTATATTCATACATGGATATATTCATGTTCTGGATGTTATCCCCATATCATCTTTAAATTTTAGTGTTTTAATGTTAAAAATGATAGACAATTATAGAAGACAACAAATTACCCACAACCCCAGTCTCTAGAGTGCTAACATTTTGGTTGCTCCCATGTAATTTGTGTATTCGGGCATCTCATGACCTCTCTATTACCGAAGGCCATCATGGTGTTCTGCTTGCCAAGGCACAAGCTCTTCACTGGCCCCATAACAATGACCTGAACCTCCGTTGTAGGCAGAGGGTTGCATTTCCCACCTGAGTCTACGTGGGACTCCCCAGGGCCTTGTGTGTTCCCCATGCCTTGGTGGAGCACCCCCTGCTTCTCCCCCAGGGTGTGTCTGCAGCCCCTTTCTTGCCTCCTGCCATTCCCATGGGTTGTGCCAAGAGAAGCTTTAGGGCAGCCAAGCTCTTCCTTCTTGGCATCAGCTAGAGGTTCCTACAACTGCTAATGGTTGGGGGCATGGTGGGGAGAATTCATTATTTCTTCTAGCACTGCTCTCTTAAACATTTGTGTTATCAATAGTTTAGAAAGGTTGTTTTTAATTTCATAGCTCACTATTAATAACTATGGTAACTTTTAGGATTATCAAATTTGGGGAGATGTTATCAGATTGCTTTCCTATATGAGCTATAATATTTGGAAGACATTTCTGAAAACTAGCTCTGCCTCTGTACCTTTCAAACCTTGTTTCTCCTCCGCTGCCCACAGGCAGCCACTGGAGGATGCCTGGTGTCATGACACAATCTACAATCTCTGGTCATTCATTTTTGTGTCACTATACTGGGGCAAATTGTCACAGTAGGAGTATTCCTGGAAGTCATTCATCCTATAAAGGATAAGAAATTGTTGGAATATAGCGGGAACGGACTCTGAATTCATAAAGGTATCCCACTGAAGCAGCCCCAAAATGACTAACACCCCAGCAATAACACTTTACACAAAGCCTGCGTTGGGCTAAAACTCTAACCCTGGTAAGTGCCCTTGAATAGATACACTTAGCTTGACTTTCTCTCATTTCTTATCCTTCCCCGTTTCAATTTCCCACACTCTGGACAATGAGATGGGCAGCATCCTGTGCCTGTGCTGGCGTGTAGGCTGTCTCCTCTCGGACAAGCTCGCCTGTTTCTGCTTATGCTGTTCTGGGAGCCACCTCTCTTGTGGGCCTGGGGATGATGGTGGGGCCTTGAGTGGCTGCTGCTTCAGATGAAGTCACTGAAAGGGGTCTTTCTAATGGAGATGGGACCACCTTAGCTGGGGGTGGGTGGGTGTAAGGGGGTGACTAGGGCAAGCCAGGACAGGCTGCTTAGAGTTCAGGGAAATTTGGGGATTCCAAGTTTTTGGCTCACCTGTGTCCACCCAGATGATTTCATCCCAAGAGTTTCAGCAAATGCCTGCTCCTCGCCAGTCGTGTCCCTACTTTATAATTAGCACCTGATTGCAAGGCTGTGCGTTTTAATTGCCATTACAGCTTTGCAGCCTCCATAGTCAGGTGTGGGTGTGATCCCCAGCCAGGGCTGCTCATAATAAAAGATGCCGACACCCCAGGGTGCTCTGACTGTAGTTAAGGTTTTTTTTTTTTAATTTTTTCATTCTACCAGTTTTTATTTCTTGCACAATAACATCGTGACAGCCATAAACAAAATAATTTTGAAAGTAAGGGAAACTTGCCCATAATCCCTTTGCTCTAAAGCACCAAGTTCTTATATTCCAGTCCTCATGAAAATTCATTTGTTTGTCTGTTTTTTTACAGAATTGCGGAAAAAATATTTGACAAGGAAATATACACCAAACCCAGCTCTTTTGTTTAAAAGCCAATTGTAAAAACACAGAATGAATCAAATGACCTGGTTTAACAGTGGCTAAGAACAATAGAAAAAGACCTTGTTTATTTGAGTTAAATTCGAGCTCAGGATGAGGCTAGAGTGTGGTGTTACTGCCAAAACCCACTCTGTGGTCTGAGGGTGGATTCGTAGCCACACAGTGTCCAACTGAGGGGTGAATGATCCCCTCCTCATCAGCTCATGCTGGTTCCTTTAATGGACTTTTTTTTTAGAGCCGTTTTAGGTTCACAGCAAAATTGAGAGGAGTGGGCCACGACATTCCCTGTGCTCTACAATGAGAGAGCCTCCTCAGAGCCCAAGGCAGTGGGCCG